TCAACAAAGAAAATTTTTATTTTAGTTACTTTTTATTAAATAGTTACAATTAATATAAAAATATGTATATGCATATGCGATTTTCCTTGCAATTTTCCATTTTCCATTCTATGTAAGGTGTTGGACTATTTTGTTTGTTTGTTACTATTTATTCGTTAATTAAAGTTAATTATTACAATAAAATTGTACAGTAAAAATATATCGCATTCTCAGGCCGTCCCACAGGTGGGATTCGAACCCACACAACCTTTGGATTAGAAGCCCAACGTGCTATCCATTGCACTACAACGAGACAACAAGCGATTTTCCTTTTTACATATGGTGTTGGGCTATTATTTTTGTTAGTTACAATTTATTCATTAATTAAATTTAATTAATAAATTAATATTTGAAAATCTGTATTAGCATCAAGTGTCATCCACTACAAGTTTAAAAAAATGTATTTGAACTTGAGTGGATGAATAAAAAGTATTTTATTACGATTGAAAATTTGAACAAGATATATATATATTAATAATATATATCTTGTTCCTACTATTCCTACTATATGAACTAAAAGTAGGAATTGAAAAATATAGAACATAGGTTCCCTACATTTTTGGAACTGGCGCCCCCTTTTCTACTGAGTAATTCGATATCTTCCCCTCCCTCTCCAAAGAAATAAGAGCGTACATAATACATGCTGAAAACAAAAATTAAATTTTAAAAAATATTTTATTATTAATAGAATATTTTTTTAATTTAGTTTTTTTCTAAAGCTTCCAATTTTTTTTTTTTACTTGCAAATCTGAAATAGTTATGCCCGAATCTATAATTTTAAATACATACAATCAACTTAAGGTAACAAGTATTAAAGTTTATTTTTGTTAATATATAATAAGCGTGTTTTTTTTAGTCTTAGACTATATTTGGTTAATCTGCCCATGCCCCTCCATACCATCTGAACCCCTCCAACTTACTCTGGGTCTTTTACTGCCCCCCTGAAAGCCTCAAGCGCCCACAATGAGGCGATATCACCCACGTTGAGAACCTATGATATAGAACAGGGGTATCCAACCCAATTGACCTTGCGGGCCACTTCGGAAAAACATTATAATCTCGCGTGCCGCACATAAAAATATGTACCTTTATATCAGATTTGGACACAAAAAACATTTATTGGAGTGAAAATTTTAAACAAAATGAATTATTATTATTGTTTTCATTATTTTTCATATATTCAGACATAGATAATATAATAATGTTTATATAATATAATAATGAAATGATCAAATTATGTTTAAAATATTACAGTTGCCGTTTTCTTGAAAATTACGATGTTCCTTTTCAATTGATCTTTCGTTACTCATTGTTGAAATTTGATTGCGCTGTCATTCGCAAACGATTAAGTATACATTCCCCTTTATCTTAACCATCCTGAATACTTTATTTAAACTAAAAAACACTCTGAAAGCCTCTTATTTTTGGGGCACTCCAAGCAGAAAAGGAGAAGAAATGAAAGTCACACACACACAGAATCATGTACCATTCATAGTAAAGGATATGCATAACGCAATTCAAAATTTATTAAAAAGGTAATTTATTATAGTAAAATAAAATGTAACTGTTTGATAAAATATAAATGCTAAATTTAATTTAAAAAACATTTCTATTATCAAAAAGGATTTATTTTAAAACAAGAATAGGTAACAGGCAAATACATTGTAGATTTATGTATATATAAATTTCCCCTTAAATCAATTTCAAAATGAAAAAATTTTAAAAACCTGATATTTAAATTTTTTTAAAAAAAATCGGCGGGCCGCAACTTATTTACTGGCGGGCCACGTGTTGGACACCCCTGATATAGAACAAACCAGTCAAGATTGAAAAGCTTTGTGATTGTAAGAGTTTGGGTTGGTTATTTTTTCTGCTGCACTATGGGGTCAACAGCCAGGGATGTTTTATGAGAGAGGGGTCTAGATTGGTTTTTTATGGTAAATAGAACCCTGATTATTCAAATTAATTTACATTGAAAAAGTATATGAATTCTCACTCTCTCTCATCCAATTCTTCCCATTATCATAATCGAGAACTGATTAAGATTTGGCTACAGGAACAAAATAATTTCATCCTTGGATTTCTCTTCTTCAAAAACAAAAAGCATTAATAAATAAATTTAAATAAAATTACAAATAAAGTATTAAAATAAGTCAAAATGCCTAATACCTGACATAAGCACATGTTTGAAATATAAATTATATATTCTTCAATCAGTGAGGCTAAATCAGTGTTACTCATCCTGCGGCCTACCGGCCTTTTCTGCGTGGCACGGTAATGTTTCATAGTACTAAGAAAATTCAATTATTGGAGAACAATGTGCTAAAAATTTAGTAGGAAAAATTCTATCAATCCAATCAATTTTGCTATCAATTTGCTTTTTTTGACAGTAGAATGTAAGCAAGAGAGAGAGGCTGGTTCATAGATGAAATGACTCAGTAAAAGATAAACAAAAAAAAATAATTTTTTTTGTGTGTATGATAGAAAGGCTAATGCGGTGTTAAAATAAAAGCCAAAGATGAGTTTAAATATTTTAATCAACTTTGCTTTGTCCAATGTTGCTTAGGTCTTATAGTATGTTTTTTCCATTGCCCTCATGTTGCGGCCCGCGTGAAATACCTGTCATGCGTGTGTGGACCGCTTGAAGTATCTATTATGTGTATGTGGCCCGACGGGAAAAAAGGTTGAGTACCCCTGTTCGAAACGATAAAAATTTCAAGTTTCTGCATATATCATACTTCATTTTCTTGTGTAGTTTTTTAATCAGCATTAGTTTTATAAATAACCTTAATTTAAGGTGACTGCCTACCTTCGGACCCAATTTTTTTTTTATAAAAACAAATTTTTGAAACAAATCGAGTGTTTTTAGGAAAAAAAATTTAAAAAAATATGTGCAAATACATAGAAATTTTTCAAATAAATATTGCACTTTTAGAAAAATTGGTTGTTTTCAAGGACACTAACAAATTTTTACTAAAACGGGTAACACTGTATAAAAATTTCTAATACAATTTTCATATAATTTCCTTTATACACAACATATATATTATGGTGCTCTTCAAAATGAGCCAAAATCTAAGAGAAATATTTAAATACAAAAATATTACAGACAATTATACATAATAATATGAAAATTTTGATATTTTTTAAGTTTTTTTTATAAAAACTATACCCTAAATGAAAAAATATTTAACCTACAAAAAAACTTATGGTCCACTTTATGAAAAATAGTATAAAAAACATTCTCACAAAATTTCAAAATGTTATCTGGTTTAAGATATCATAAGATATTCTTTCGAAAACATAATTTTGAGAAAAACTCATTCAAAGTTTTATCTTACTGCCCTTTTGCATAGAGTGATGTTTTTTTTTAAAATCACTATAACTTTATTTCTATTTCGCGTATAGGAAAAAGAAAAATGCTCAAACTATAAGATTTTGAAATAAAAAAAATGCATTATGTAGACAAAAAACGAGATTTTCAAGGTAGGCAGTCACCTTACTAAAAAAAAAAAGAAAACTTGCTTTTAATATTCAACAGAATACCATTTTAATGCGCAGAAAAATTTTAACAAAAAAAATATATAAATAATTTATTTTCAATTTTAAAAATATAATGAAATAAAAATAAGAATACGCATTGAACAAAAAACTCATAAATCATTTGTTGTCAAACAAGTAAATATTGTAAACAGCTTAAGAAAATTAATTTCTTTTCTTAGGAGTACATCGGCAACAATCAGTAAAAGATTAAAAAAATAATACTTGTTATTGTTTGGTAGGTTTGCATCGAAAAAAACCTAAATAAACAATGGGTTTGTCCCATTGATTATATGTTTTTAAAAGATTTCTTTGGATTTTTGATTAGATATCTGACCTTTAATATTTTGAATGGTTGTCAGCTTTATTGTTATTGAGACAAATAGTTCACTTTTCTGAAACAACAGACTAAAGGTTAATAAACAAGCAGAGTTGTTTGGGTGTGCATATTCATGATCTGTCGAAACAATAATATTTTTACTTTTGCTTTCGATCTATTTATGAAAACAAGTTCTAATGAAAGATAGTTGTTGATACATAAAAGTTGATCGATCTCGGAAAATTAGTTCATAAAAATGACTCTTTAACTCGTTAAAAAATATTTATATAAGAATTATGGAAAAATAAGAATATTTTGGATTATTCATTTCCTATGTTTTTATTTAATATTTATTTATATTTTTATTATTAATATTACACGAATTTTACTGTAGAAGAATTAAATAATTAATTAAAAATTAATCGATTCAGAAAACAGATTTGAATGATAAATATTGGTAACTGATTAATTAACAAATGTAATACGTCATAAAAATGTTAAAATTTGTGTATGTGCTTTAGGGGTGGGGTGCTTTGCAAAATTTGTGTATGTGCTTTTATAAAGAGAGAAAAAAAAATATTATTAATCGGAACCTACTTATGCAAAAAAAGATGTTATATGGCAGGGATGGCGACTTTCACGTGTGCCATTCATGGCACGCGACACAATATTGTGTGCACGCCAGCGATCAAAATGGTTTGCATTTTATTTCAAAATAACAAAGTTCACTATGAAGTATTACGAACAAACGTGAGTGATCTGTCGCGGTGCGGTGGGAGCACACTCGTTTGTTATTGTTTTACCTTAGTTACGTCGTGGAATACAATTGCTTATAAAGTTTACAAAGTTTTACAATTACATAGTTTGTCTACGTATAGCATAGTCAATTTCATTGTGTCAAATGTATTTTAAAGTTTATTTGTTATATTTAAGATTTTTAAGCGTTATTTAACATGGCTAGTTCAGCAAAGGAATAAAAAGGGCAAGATAGTAAGAAAGAAAAAATAAATAATGTAAAAGAGAATATCAAATTTGGTGAATCTATAAATATGGCATTATTAGTAATGGCGACAAAGCGGTGTATGTTTTATCTTCTGGAATAGTGGTAAGCAGAACATTGTACGTAAAACGGCATTTTGAAACAAATAGCAAATCCTCTCGTCGAAAAAGTGAACCACAGCAAATAAAATTAATTGCTTAAACTCCGATTGGCAGATGGCTCCAATTAAGCGTGCATTCTACTAACAGTAACATCTTACAATCCAAATATAAGTTATTTGTCATCCAATCTGCAGCAACAGAACTCACACTAATGTTACGTTAATTTGAATAACACGTATAACTAAAACATTTACAACTATACAGTGCAAAGGGTATTTTATTCGTAGCAAATA